GTAGTTGTGTCACAATAACTTTTAAGACCTATTCCCAAGCTCAGTTTAGTTCTTTTTTTCTTGTTCTACAGAAGCCAAGGATTCACATTTGTTTCTCAAGTTCAGTCTTACCACTTGGATTAGATAAAAAGTATCACTGGCATGTTACATTGTTCTCTCTGAATCCTATTCTGTTCCTGTGATGGGATGTGCTAGATATGCTGACCCTCATACTTTGATTGTATAATTGAGGGTCAGCTTTGTGGCATAACTTACCAGCAGGAGTAGTTTTTATCGTTCAGTGGAAACACTGTTTACATGGTGTTAGGATTCTCAAGTTTGCTCATAAGATGAAAATCACATTCAGTAATCATAAAAATTACCCATGAATACTCTTAGGAATATGCCTTGTTGGAGACAGATAATCTCTCAGTAAATCCAGCATAACTAGCATTTTCTCTACATTAGAAAGAATTACCATTTATTTGTTGGCATACCAGTTGAAGGAGCTTGATTATAATGGGGGCCCCGGTGTATGAAAAACATGGAGTTTTAAGCACGAGAATCATACCCTGTGCAGTAAGGAGTTCATCCTGAGAGACACCTGGGAGCTGAGCAGATTATAAATCTCCTGTCTCCTGTGTTCACTGAAGTTTGCTGTCATCGATTGGAATGTTAAGGGGAGCTCCACAGAACCTTTTGAAAATTTTATTGCTTATTTTCTTTCTTCTCTGAATACACAGTATTGAATTTCCCTGAGTTGGATCCATGTTAGGCTGGTTCCTAAGAGGTGTGGGGCCCAGGACAAGAATACAAATGGAGGCATGCATACTTTATAATAATAAATATTTAAGAGTATAAATCAAACTAGCAAACTGTTAACACATTCATAACAAATAAAATATATTTCTTGCCAAAAATACCTCTGTGTACCTGGGTTCAAATGTAGAATTCTCATACTCCTTGGAGCTCCATGCTGAAGTGTGGGTGCATGGAGAGGGTCCACCTCTGGCCTACCCTTCTTCCCTTCCCAGTCCTGTCTTCCCTCTTTGCTGCCCGCCCACCTCCCCCATCAGTGAGGGTGCTTGCATGCACTTATGTGAGCATCTTATCATATCCCACATGTCCAAGTTCTTTCCACGTGCCTTGGAAATACCTGTCCTTTAGCCACCTGTCAAGTCCAATGGGTGCCACCAGTGACTGTGGTCTGCCTTCGGGCAGACAGACCTGGGGAAGATGCCTGTGTATGCCCTGGAAGTGAACTTGGAGCTGATTACCCCAGGGAGCTCATCTGTTTGGCCCTTAGAATTCCCTGCTTATGGAGAGGAGTGTGACTGGAGAAGGGCCAGAGTAAAGGTCCTCTAAAATGTGGGGCCTAGTTAGGTTCCTGTGATTTAAATTCATATGACCTAAATTTGCAAATGATGTGTTGCCACAGTTTAATTTGGCTTGTTAAAGGAAGTTAAGAAGCAAAAGTTATTGATGTTTCAAAAGCCCAAGTTGTTCTCCTACTTGAAATTGTATTTTTGGCATGTCCTATTAAGAATCTTTTAGACAGTTGTGATATTAGGATTGGCTTATTTTTATGCCTCTTTTATTCTCTTATTTGGCACTAATGGAGTAGTAATATTGTCTCAGAGGGTAAAAAAGTGCTGAATGATTCACCTTTAAGTAACTAAGAACTGACTGCAAAAGCTCTATCAAAGCCTAGTTGTAAGTTTTGGTTGTAGATACGGGAACAGTCCTGCGTTCTAGTTTTGTGGGGTTTCTTGGTCAGCTTAAGTTTTTAGAGGCATTATAGAAAGTATTGAGGAGGGAGATAGTGGAGGCAATAAATTGCATGTAGATAAACCCCACAACCACCATTGGTCTGGATTTATGAGCATAAGTAGCTCATGTCCATGTCGAGTATGAACTGGAAAAATGCTCGCAGGTGGACTAGGAGTAGGATGTCAGAACCAGGGACTGAATGTTACTGTCCCCTGCTTTAGCATGGAGAGTAAAGACAGGAATTGATAGTAAAGAAGATGTAGCCCCGACCCTGATGATAGGAAATTGAAGAGTTTTCTTATTTGTAAAACAAGGGGTGGATTAGATTGTCTAATGTTTCTTACAACTTAAAAATTCCAAATTCTGGGGCGCCTGGGTGGCGCAGTCGGTTGAGCGTCCGACTTCAGCCAGGTCACGATCTCGCGGTCCGCGGGTTCGAGCCCCGCGTCGGGCTCTGGGCTGATGGCTCGGAGCCTGGAGCCTGTTTCCGATTCTGTGTCTCCCTCTCTCTCTGCCCCTCCCCCGTTCATGCTCTGTCTCTCTCTGTCCCAAAAATAAATAAAAACGTTGAAAAAAAAATTAAAAAAAAAAAATTCCAAATTCTAATTTAAATTTCTAAAGTTTTTGGAGATAACAAAAATACACTAGGTTTGATTATTTAGGTTCTTACTAACTTTAAAAACTAAGTTGTGAACTTACACAATGTCATTTGCTGTGTTAAAATGTCTACTTAAGTCAATAGGCTAAGAACAGTAATTCATCATCACTTGTTTTTTTTTTTAAATTATTTTTAACGTGTATTTATTATTATTGAGAGACAGAGAGACACAGAGCATGAACAGGGGAGGGGTAGAGAGAGGGGGAGACACAGAATCTGAAGCAGGCTCCAGGCTCTGAGCTGTCAGCACAGAGCCCGACGTGGGGCTTGAACTCACGAACTGCGAGATCATGACCTGAGCCGAAGTTGGTCGCCTAACCAAGTGAGCCACCCAGGCGCCCCATCATCACTTGGTTTTAATAAAGTACTTCATTTTGGGGGCTGTTGACTTAGGTTCATTATAATTTCTACTGATAGAAAGTTGATTTTCATTTTCTTTTGACAAAGCCAAAATACATGGGACAAGTCACTTATGTATGTACCTGCCAGCCTCCTGGAGTTCTCAGTAAAAGTAAGATACAGAGTTAGAATAAAACCATGTGACTTTAAAGCAAACCAAGATAAATTGGTATTATTGAGATGCCTCTTTGTCCTATTTGGAATAGGATAAAGAGGAGAAATAGACTAGATATAGAAACTTGGCTTTTTACAAATAACATAAGCTCCATTCTGAATATGTTGGTGTAAGAAGTTTTATAACTTTTTTGTGCATCTTGTCATGGGAGGCACCCTTTGAACATCTGTGGAATTTATTTGGCCCAAAGGGAGCTATTGCATCAATAGGGAATGCTCTTGGTTGTCCTCCCCCCTCCAAAGCCTCCTAAGTATTTTTTTTTAACGTTTATTTTAGAGAGAAAGAGAGAGAGAACACACATGTGCGTCCATGCAACTGGGGGAGGGGCAGACAGAGGGGGGTACAGGCAACCTGAAGCAGGCTCCATGCCGATAGCACAGAGCCCAGTACAGGGCTTGAACTCGCAAACCGCAAGATCATGACTTGAGCCAAAGTCGGATGCTTAACCGACCTAACTACCCACGCGCCCCTGCTAAGTATTTACTTAGATTACCCCCAGATCCCTTTATATTTCCTCTAGGGTTGTTCATTAGTCAGTTTTTTTTCCCTACTCTTTCTGGGTGTGGGTGGGTAGAGCTACTCTTTGGAATTCAAATAAAGAACTGAACTCTTTGGCCTTTAAAAGTAGTCAAGGGCGTGCCTGGATGGCCCAGTCGGTTAAGCACCCTCCTCAGCTCTCTCCCTCTCTCCCCTCCCCAAAAATAAACAAACATTAAAACAATTTTTTTAAGTTGTCAAGTGGGGGTGAATCAAACTTTTAAAAAAAATTTTTTTTAATGTTTGTTTATTTCTGAGACAGAGCATGAGTGAGGGAGGGGCAGAGAGAGAGGGAGACGCAGAATGTGAAGCAGGCTCCAGGCTCTGAACTGTCAGCACAGAGTCCGACGGGGGCTTGAACTCACAAACCGTGAGATCATGGCCTGAGGCGAAGTCGGTCGCTCAACCGACTGTGCCACCCAGGAGCCCCAGAATCAAACTTTTAATATTGAGCTGTTCCCAAGTTTACTGTCTTTAAAATAAGAGGTTCTGCAACAGGTACAGGGTTTTGTAAGAGCTGAGTAGTGATGCAATACCTGTAGATTTGTATATTGTTTGAGGTTTTGTGGTTTTTTTTTTTTTTTTTTTTTTTTTTGTATACTGTCTGCTTTTCTTGGTTTCTTGGGATGGAAATATGACAATACCAGTATCTTACCATCTTAAATCTTTGCGCTAAGGGTGGTGTACCTGCTTATGAAAGAGACGTGTCGTTCCATATGTTTTGACACGTGATAATGGGTTGGGATGACCTCCAGACAGCTCTCTTTTCATCCCAGGGAAGTTGGAGAGGTCCTGTCGCTATGTAAATTGCAGAAGGCAGCAGTTGGTGGTGATGTGCCACACTTCAGTTGTTCACTCTCCGTTTATTGGTTGTTTCTTCCTTGTATCTGTGAGAAGCTCGACGTGAGGTTAACAGCAGTAACTGTCTATGTGGCTAACACAGTAGCGGTACCTCAGGGACTAGGGTGGGTCAGGTTTGGCAACCTGTGTAGGCCACAGCTGTGAGCCCATGGTTAGATTGGAAATTGAACAGAAAAACTGTTCTAAAAGGTCTCTAATGGCTTGTAATTGGAAACTATAAAAAATGCTGACTGCCTAGAGTCCCATTTTTGGTGGTGGTGGGACAAGTTTGGTGAATTGGGGATGCTCATTTCAGTTTTAACTGAAATGTTATAGTAATCGCCTTTAGCTCGTTGAGTGTTAAATCTTATCGAATCAAGTGCCTCTATTAGCAAATTTTGAGTGGTGGTTTCTATGCCTGTTTGCTATTATTTCCTTTAAGAAAAATAAATATTTTATTTCTCTTTTATTTTCTGAAAAGAAGCACTCCATATAAACCTTCAGAAGGATAAAAGGATTCGAGTACATGTTTGCCTGTTTGTTGATGAAACGTTTTAAAAATGCTTCATTTTTTTTCATGGACCCTTACTGCTGAAGGGGTGGTTTTCCTTAGCTCTCTTTTCCATCTGAGTGTTTTTTGCAAAGTAATTTGGCTTACTAGGAAGACTCTGGCCTCTGTGTAAGTTTAGTAGTTGATACCTGGGGAGTTCACTAGGGCTTTACTGCTTTAAGTGGGTTATTTGTAAGCATGTGGTCAAGGATGTAGGTGTCCCGTGCTTTGTGTTCACAGGGGGTGAGGGAGGGGGGTCCAAGTTCACCCTGCTCCTCAGTCAGACAGGTGGAGGAGTGTGAGAATGCTTCATGAATCTCCTGTCCCTTTCCTTTCCTTCTTTGTCTTCTACTTAGGTCTCCATCAAAACAACCATACTTTGCTTTCTGTGCCACTTGCCCGGGGGCGGGGGAGGAGTATGATTTTTCTAGTTCCTTCCTTGGAGAACCCAATTCCTAGAGCTGGTTGCTGCTCCTGCCCCCAGTTGGTTTTCTTGGGGGATTATATTTTATTGTTCTTCTGTTTGCTTGCAAATTGGCTACTTTTTACCCTTCTTTGATACTTAAAAAAAATTCAGTTAGTGTAGAAAATGTATCATCATGCTTTATGTCAAACAAGAAAGGATCACTTACTCCTTTCTCATTCCAATTAGGAAAGCATGCAGCCTCAGTTTTTTGTGTTCTATATTTTTGTTTGTTTTTGGTCTGCCTATAGGAGATCTTCCCTTATATTTAAAAAAATGTTTTTTAACATTCTGTTAACCTGCTCTTATATGTTCATCCCCATTTCTGCTAGTTCCAAAGACTGATTTCCCACTAGGTCTGTTTGTGGCTGTGTACTAGTATTCTTGTTAGGTCAGTGGACAGTTTGTAGAGTTCACAACTTTTAAACCAAGGAAGTAAGTTTTGGTTCCAGGCCTTGGTAAGGTGACTGTTTTCTCTCTCCAACCTAGGATGGTGATCGAGACATTTTTATTGATGGTGTTGTTGCTCGTAATAGAGCCTTGAATGGGGATCTGGTGGTTGTGAAGCTGCTTCCAGAAGAGCAGTGGAAGGTAAGTTAAAATTTCCTTTTCTAATAATAGAGTCCTCGGGGCCTTTTCATTCCATGGTGCATCGGGGAGACATCATAAACTGAAGCAGTCATGGACTCTTCTAAGAAGCAGGCCATGGAATGCTGGGAACTTAGAAGCATCTGATGGGCAGACAGCTAATGATTTGAGTTGTTCTCCTTGCTCCCTCCCTTGTGACCTGTCTTCCCTTCACATGCCTTGCATTGGTTTCTGGTAATTTTTAGGACAGAATAAAAGCTTGCAGGGCACATTCAAACTTGATATGTATTATTTTCCCACATTAAATACTGGGAGAACTGGAAAGACAAAGTCATGGGGAGGGTGGCAGTCTTCATACATTCTTGCTGCCTCTATGGGAAAACTCAGGCAACACATACCTAGTTCTGTAGTGTCCAGTTTGGTGATTGGGCTTCCTTTGGCAGACAAAAATACTCTTTTTATAAAACAGAGATCTGGTGGCAGAGGAAATGTTTTCAACATGAGAATATTCTGGGTTTCATTCTCCATATATGTCTGTCAATTGAAAAGAAAGATGTGGTTTTTGACTAATATTTTTTTTTTTATTAAAAAATTTTTTTAATGTTTATTTTTGAGAGACAGAGACAGTGTGAGTCAGGGAGGGACAGAGAGAGAGGGAGACACAGAATCCAAAGCAGGTTCTAGGCACTGAGCTGTCAGCAAAGAGCCTGACGTGGGGCTCAAACCTGTGAACCGTGAGATCATGACCTGAGCTGAAGTCATATGCTTAACTGACTGAGCCACCCAGGTGCCCCTTGACCATTATTTTAAATAAGAGTCAGGCACTGGAATCATTTATAGTAGCAGTTTCTTTGAATTGTCATGTAGAACTGGCAACTTGTGTGTCTAAGTCTGGATTTTTCTTTGTAGCATTTATTCATAGCATCTTTTATTTGGCTCAGTTCATCGGTATTGAGGAATATGGTGTTGTCTTCATTGAGTGGTACTATAGGAAATAATAGAGTGGGCTTTTTCGGCTTGGGTTTGAATCCCTTTCTGCAGCTCATCTGTATAACTTTGGGTGAATTATATAACCTCTCTGTGCCTCAAATGCTTCATCTGTAAAATGGGAATAATCATAGTACCTACTTCAGACGTTTGTGATGAGGATTAAATGAGAATATACATGTAAGGATCTTAGAATGGTGCCTAACCCATGGTAGCAGCTCAAGAAATGTTGGTTTTTATTATTAGCTTTTCCAGAAATGGGGGAAGCACTACCTTATCTCAGAGCTTTGTTGAGATATAAATTCAATTTGTGTTTTATTCGACAGGGCTGGAGTAACTGAGTTAGACCTATATGCCAGGGATTTGTAGGGTGTAGGGATGTTAATAATGATCACGATAGACATAGTTCTTTCTTTTTTTTAATCTTTTTTCAACGTTTTTATTCAGTTTTGAGAGAGACACAGAGCATGAGTGGGGGAGGGGTAGAGAGAGAGAGGGAGATACAGAATCTGAAACAGGTTCCAGGCTCCAAGCTCTTAGCACAGAGCCAGACACAGGGCTGGAACTCACGAGCCATGAGATCATGATGTGTGCCGAAGTAATTCGCTTAACTGACTGAGCCACCCAGGTGCCCCATGATAGACATAGTTGTTAACCCTTATGGAGCTTTTAGTCTGACGGGGAGTGCAGGAAGAGACAGATACTAATAATACACAAATTTAAGGATAATTATAGTTAATGCTGTGAAGTTAAGTGAAGAGTATTTTATGACGGTTAGTTATCCTAGTCCTGATACCCCCAGCCCACCCCCAGTTGCTGCCAATTGTGGCTGTAGTCTCCTCCCTTGATTCTCCAAAAGCACAGCTAAGAGTTGGTTCCAAGTCCTAGGAACATAGATTGATTTAGGCCACTTTCTCTTTTCTGGAAAGCGTCATCTAGCACAGTGTTGACCATATCTAAGAAGGCAAGAGGAGTGCATTAGGGCCTGATCAAACTAAAGGAAGTATTCCTGGAGGTCATTTGAGGGAGTAAAGAGGCAGAATTAGAGTGAAGATGATCCGAAGAAGGAACACAAAAAGGTGATGGTTTCCTTTAACTCAAGGAGTGAGAATGGGCAGAATAGAAAGAAATAGAAGAGTAGTTAGCAAATTGGGTGAGTCTGGCGCTGACCGGAACGTGTAAGATGTTGACTGATTGAAGAATAGGAATGGAGAGCATATAGTAGAGCACCTGTTGAGCTCTACAGAGGTGGACGAGGTTGATTAAAAAAGAGCAAGGCCAAGTTGCCTAGCATCCTTCCTACCTTGGCTGCAGCAGGGGATGGCTAAAAAAACCCAAACATGAATAAATAAGTTAGTTGCATTATTTTCCCTGTTTTGCACCTCCTTTGTATTTAAGACCAGCAGGCACAGCCTTTCCTGGTATTGTATGAACCACTCTTGCTTTGGATAGAAAGCCTAGGAAGATGAGGGTAGGTTGGAGGTGAAAGTGTTTGTTGTTGTCATGTTCTAGAAGGACAGCTTAGGACTTGGGGATTCTTACTTCTGCCTTGGTGCCTTTGCTTCTAGACAAAAACCTATACCTCCTTTAAGACTCAACACAGCCAAGTTGTGTTTTTTCCCAAGAGGCCTAAGTTTGTGATTTTGTAATTCCTAGGTCACTGGAGCTAGTTAAGCAGATAAGAATTTACTGAAATTCTTATAGTGCTCCCACAGTCAGTATATTCAGACTACATAGACACAGCTTGCTGTTTTTCTATTTTACGGTTAATATCTAAAGGCAGAAGAGATTAAGGGCCATATGGGAGTTTTAAGCCAGGGAGTGACATGGTCTTATTTAGCCAAAAATCACTCTGGCTGCTATTTGGAGAATAGAATGTAGTGGGGGCAATTGTGCATTGGCGTGGCCAGTTAGGAGGTATATGCCGGGCCGTGATAGTGAAGGTGCAGAGAGGTAGAGATACATTTTGAAAGTAGAGCTAATGGGACTTGAAGATAGATTTGAGGAGTAGGGTTAATGAAAGCAGGGAATGAAGGATTAAGGTTCTGGTTTAAGCAAAATGGGTGAACATGATGTCATTAATTTGAAATGAGGAATGGTAGCATGTTTGGGTACAAAAATTATTAGTTCTGCTTGGCCATGTTAAGTTTTAATTTCTTTTCAGACATGTTAATAGAGATGTTGAGAATATATGGAGGCGTAGATGGTTCATTACTCATAAATTCTATTAAGTTATGGAAGAAATAATCCCGATTCTACACAAACACTTCCAGAAGATGCAAGAGGAGGAAACCTTTCCCAACTTCTAAGAAGGCAGCATTGCCTTAATATCAAAACCAGGAAAAGACATTGTAAGAGAAGAAAGCTATAGACCAGTACTCCTCACAAACATGGTTGAAAAAGTCCTCAACAAAATATTAGCCAATAGAATCCAACAACATATTATACTAAAAGGGTAATATAGCATGAGCAAATGGGGTTTATCTCAGGAGTGCAAAGTTTAATATTTGAAAAGCAATTTCATGTAATTCACCTAGTTAACAGACCAAACTTACCATATTTCATTTGAATGCCATCATTTCAATAGATGCAGAAAATACAATTGACAGAAGTCGACAATAATTCATAATAAAAAATCACAGCAAACTAGAAATAAAAGAGTACTTCCTCAATTTGGCAAAGAACATCTAGGAGATACTTATAACTAACACCATTCTTAGTAAGAAGAAAGGCTAAATGCTTTTCCTCCAATATTGGGAATGAGGTAAGGATGTCCCTTCTCATCCCTTTTATTCAACACTGTACTGGAGATTCTAGCCAGTACAGTAAAGCAATAGGGGAGAAAAGCATTTGGATTGGAAAGGAAGAAGTAAAATTGTATTTAATCTCAGACTATATGATTTTCTATATATAAAATCCTAAGGAATCTACAAAAAGCTGCTAGAACTAATAAGTGAGATTAGGTTGAAGGCCAGAAGGTTGATATAAAAAATCAATTGTACTTATATATATTAACAATGAGAAATTGGAAATTTCAAAATTTATTAAAGTATCTTTTTCATAGGATCAAAATTATGATATACTGAGGGAAAAATGTGACCAAAGATGTGTAAGACATGTACACTAAAACTATAAACGTTTTATAGTTTATAAACTGAGAAAAATTACATAAGGTCTCAGTAAATGGTGAAAAATATCATGCTCATGAATTAAAAGACTCAGTATTGCTAAGATACCAATTCTATTCAGATCGATAGATGGATTCATCACAATCCCAAAGGAAATTGTAGCAGGCTTCTTTATAGATGTTAACAAGCTGATGTTAAGATTTATATAGTTGTGCAAAGGACCTAGGATAGCCAAAACAAAGAAGAACAAAATTGGAGGCTGTCTATCACCTGATTTCAAGACTTACTATAAAGCTCTGATAGTCAAACTGTGTGGTAATGTCAAGATAGACATATAAATTGATGGAACAGAGTAGAGAGGCCTGAAGTAGACCCACACATACATGATTATTTGATTTTCTACAATGGTGCCAAAATAATTTGGTGGGGAAAAGATCTCTTTTCAACAAATGTGCTATTACAATTGTGTAGCCATATGAAAAATAATGAACTTTGACCCTTACCTTGTACCATATACAGAAATTAACTTGAAGTGGACTGTAGATATAAATGTTTGTGTAAAAACTATAAACTTTTTATAAGAAAAAGGCGAAATTTTTAGTGATCGTAGATTTAACAAATATTTCTTAAATATGAAGCATAAAAGAAATAATAAATTTGACTTTATTAAAATTATAAACTTTTGCTCTTTAATAAACACTGTTACAAAAAGGCAAAACATTTATCTGACCAAAGATTTTTATTATCTAGACTATAAAGAACTCTTTTAGTCAATAACAGGCAGCCTATTTAAAAACTGTATTAAAGATTTGAGAGATACTTTACTAAATAAGATATATGGATAGCAGATAAGCATAGGAAAAGATGCTTGACATAGTCATTAAGAAA